TCGTCAATTAATGAGTAATTTGATGGTATACTAGCTGCCCACTAATTTTCAAAACTCTATCTCGAATAATTCAGAAGTTACAGCCCTTGCCGTCTTTTGTGCACTTCTGTCTTCTCACTGGCCTGTAACTTTTTTCAATTCTTGTTCGATTCAGGTGAAATGTTGACCAAATCGTAAATTCATGATTTGCAATGTTAGCCTGAATTTTATTTCCCAAGAAAAGCTGATGGCTTAATCATTATACAGGAACATACAAAAGTTACTCATTCACCCTTATTAACTCCTTGATCACCAGCGTAGATAAGTGGAAGCACAAAAAGTAGTAAAAGATGTAGGAACTATTATCGATAATAAAAACACTTATAGGTAGTTTTATTTTCATCAATGTTATGTATCTTTGTTCGATATTATTTGCAATTACATTATTTTTGAGAAGGAACCAAAAATAAAACTAATGAATAAATAACAAAAGCTCAAAGTCATATCCACACAATGTTCATAAAATGAAAAACAATAGTAGATTTCCGGAAAAAAACAACTACTTTCCTAGCTAATGCCACGCACAACATTGAATTACATCCTCCCGAAATCTATGTATAAACGATAAGTAAATCTTTCCTGAATGTCTATTGATTTCGATTTAGCCAGGCCTGGTTAGACACCTACAGACCGGTTTCGAGCTCTTTGATTCTCATCAGTGCAGGGCAGTCTCCAGCCAGCAGTCCTAAGACCGTATAATCTTACTTTTTCGTATTTTCATAAAATGCCTGTTTAGTTTCCATGGCATTTCTATTGTGTCCACAGCCATATATTGGCATCTTTGATTCAATGCTGAATAAGTAAAAAATGGCCCAAGGAAACATTAGGAAACCATATACAGTGCTTTTCTTCAATGTTTCCCTCCTTTTATTCTTTGAACGGGCCAACAGAAAAAATTGAATCTTAGGATGATGACATTGATGCATGAATACTATATCTTGGAGTAAAATTGACAGAGTAAAATTTCAAGATGGCGACTGGGCGCCATCTGGGGATAAAAATTAAATGGATTGGGGATCTTGTGATACATCTCCTTGAAGCTCCTGATGAATACTTCACAACCCTAGAATATAAAGGCAATACCTTCACCTACAACAAAATGACGGAACATTTAAACGTTGCCTGAATACAAAGACATCAATATGGGTATTGTATTCCAAGATGGAGCACCACCACATTACCCCAGACAAGTTAGAAATGTTTTTATAATACTTTCTCTGGTCGTTGGATTGGCCCATCGAAATCCTACGAGATGGCCAGCCCGCTCGCCAGATTTGCCACATCTAGAACTTTTTTCATGGGGCAATATTGAAATATCGACGTAACTTCAAAAGTGTTCGGCGTGAAATGTCGGATAGGCTGTTCTCATGTCAAGAAGTTCATGGCAACCATTTCGAGCTTCTTCTGCACTGTACTCAGCTTATTTCCTCAAATTATGAAGTAGACGTCGTTGTATTCAGGCTGTTCCACCATTTTGTAGTTGGTACTTCATATTCTAGGGTTGTGAAGTAGTCGTCAGGAGCTTCAAGAAGATGTATCACAAGACCTCTCTTTGCATTGTCATCAGATGGCGCCCAGTCGCCATCTTGAAATTTTCATCTGTCGAGTTTCCTTTAAAATATAGTATTCATGCATCAATTTCATTACTACAAGTTTCAGTTTTTTTTCGTTGACCCGTTGAAAATATAAAGGAGGGGCATTAAAGAAAAGCACTGTACATTTTGTGAACAGAAGGAAAAGATATGTCACTAGAGTGAAAAAATACATGGTTTGTGTTTCGTTTGATAAAACTGATTTGGACTCTTTTATCATTCTGCATTTCGCATCTGTTCGTTTAAGAAGTGCTAGAAGATAGTACAGAAGAAATACTACAACTTTTATATTCAAAGTTTTTCGACCTCTTATATTTAAAGTTGTAGGAAGGGGTCAAAATATACGGAGACACCCTGTACCTTCCAGCATCGTTTTAAAGTTATAATTAATCATCCTGTATGATACTAGATTATAACAATCTTGACCCTAAATTTGTCCGGCATACAAGCTTATCGCCCAAACTTCATTCGCTAGGGAACAGTGTGGAAGCATAGCCGAAGAGACTTAGTAGATATTCTCTCGTAACAGTGGAGTACAATAATTAATTGATAACGAGGGAGCCCCAGTATGACACATGAAAAATCTGAGGAGATTCTTTCAAGGAAAATGTTCTTAAAAAATCTCAGCCATGAATCCATCACGTGCAGTTCTTCAAAGATCATGGAGAAAGCCATCAACATCGAGCTCATGAGATACCTTGAACATTCTGGTATTATCAACGATAGGCAATATGGCTTTCGTCATCAGAGATCAACTGGTGACCTGCTCGCTTACGTCTCACATATATGGCAGCAATCTATTGAAAAATATGGTGAAACCTTGGCCGTGGCACTTGATATCTCCAAGGCATTCGATCGAGTCTGGCACCACGGACTCCTCGCCAAGCCTCCATCTTATGACTTGCCTCCCCAGCTATGTTCTCTGCTAGCTAGTTTTCTCTCAAACAGGTCTCTCCATGTAGTGGTCGACGGAGTTTCATCCGACTCTCTTATTATAAATGCTGGTGTACCGCAAGGATCAATTCTAGCACCAACACTATTTATACTCCATATCAACGAGTTGTTTGGAAGCAACTTCATGTCCAGTACACAGCTTCGCGGATGATAGTACCCTCCATACCGCCTTCTCTTCCAGGGCTCCAATACCAGCCAGGCAAATCAGAAACGAACGAGGAAGAAATGTTGACAACATGAATATGGACTTGGCAACAATTCTCGAATGGGGATCCAATGACTTGGTAGGAGTAACCATACCTTTGAAGACATCCATTTCGATGCTTGGTATTACTATCAGCAATAACCTTTCTTGGGAAAATCACATGAGATCAATTGCTGAAAGTGCATCTCGAAAACTTGGTTTTCTGTTTCGGGTCAGGAGCTATTTCACTTCCAGTCAGCTGCTTATGATCTATAAGGCACAGATCCGACCTGTCCTGGAATACGTTTCCCATATTTGGAGTGCTGCACCCAAACATAACCTGAAACTGTTGGATTCAGTCCTTTTCGTGGGAACCAGAAAATAAAAAAGGGCAATTCGTCTCGTGGGTGATGCCTCGCTCGCAAACTCACTCACTTCTCTGGAACACCGTAAAAAAGTTGGAGATCTGGCTCTATTTCATAGATATTTTTATGGACGATGCTCTTATTCTGAAATATCAACAATTGTTCCTCCCTTGGCAGTCCCCGCGAGATTAACCCGTCGAGTTGAGGCTTCGCATCCCTTCGTGGTCACTCTGGAGACTTGCAGAACATCTCTTTCCAAAGACTCGTTCATCCAACGAAGCGAGGCTCTGGAACACATTGCCAAGGGAGGTGTTCCCGAGGCATATAACCTCCAGAAAGATAAGGAGAACACCAATTCTTACCTTATGGTTCTCACGATGTTCTACGAACATTACAGGATATATCCCTTTCCGTGGGAACCAGAACATAAAAAAAATCACACGTTGAACAATATACTATTTTTCTGCGTTTGCTGGTAATTTCGTTTAATTTCTTCCCTTTTGTTCCGCTACTGTCGCTTATTATGCCTTAACATGCTATAATAGCGAACACATCAAGAACAAGAAAACAGAATGTGTCAGTCAGTCAGCTTCTAAGAGCATGTATAATGCTGCTAGGATGAGTTAAGATTGCGGCTAATTCCTCTTTTCTTCTTTTGTCGTTGTCTATAGTTATAGTAGTAGGAGAGAGGTTTACAGGGTGTGTCATTGAGCCATTTTATCAAGTTTATTGAGAGTTGTGGGTAACCACAGGAAAAAAATTTTGTGAAGAAAAGTTAAATGATGCGGAAAAGGATAACTTTCAAAACGAAAAATAATGCGGAAAAGTTACTTTTTCTACAATCTTGCGTGATTCACCGTATACCCGCACGCAATTCAGTTTGGGCAGTGTCATTTTCCCGCACTAGTGCGGGAAAAGTTTTCCCACAATAGTGCGGGAAATTTTTTCTCAGACTAGTGCGGTAAAAAACGGTAAAAGTGCACTTATCATGCGATGGGGTTTTTTTCGAATTTTTTTTTTTGGTACTTATGTATTTTCGTCTGAAAAACACGAATTTGAATGAATGAAAATGTGAACAAACCATTATTTATTAAGATATTTCACTATAAAGTCACAAATTTCACCATCTTTTCCGCCTGTCTTCTGGATCACATTCATAACAATTTGCCCTTCTTTTTCCATCATTGGACAATTTATATATATCACACAATGTTGGACACATTTTTGTTATTATATGAGTCAACTAGAAATATGATTTTCTTGTGATTTATCCATGTTTAGTGAAAAGAAGGAAGAATATCATTTGAAATAATGGCGTGTGTAATGTCATTCCAAAGCAATCTATTGACATTTGACATCTCGTATTTGGATATTGCATATGGATTAAATGGCCGTCATCTGGTATCTTGCTCACTAAATAGGAAAAACTCGCCATAAAAATCATATTTCCTGTTGAATTTTCTATCTTAAAATGTGTCAGTGAAGTACATCATGAGTATATAAAGTGTCCAATGACAAAATAATAAGAGCAAGTACCTGTAAATGCATCCAACACAAGGGGGAAAAGAAGGCAAAATTTCTAACTTTTTCTTGAAATATCTCGATAAATAGTGGTTTGTTCACATTTTCATTATGAAATTCGTGTTTTTCATACGAAAATACGTAAGTACAAAAAAAAATTTTCGAAAAAAACCCATCGCATGATAAGTGCACTTTTACCCTGTTTTCATAGGTGGTTCGCGTCGTTCGGGTCAACGGCATGCGCGTGCGGGAAAGTATCACTTTCCGCACTTGTTAGGAAAATTACTATTTCCGCACGCTCGTAGGAAAGCATGCATATATGCTAATGAATTCTTTTCGTTTCAGCATGCGACTGCCATCCGATTGGGGCTTCCGGGAAGACTTGCAACCAAGCATCGGGACAATGTCCTTGCAAAGATGGCGTGATTGGTATCACGTGCAACCGATGCGCCAAAGGGTACCAGCAAAGTCGTTCTCATATTGCTCCGTGCATAAGTAAGTACCTACTCGTTCGCTGTACTCACTTTATTACCATATCACCTTAGTACCGATGTATTTCCATTGCACCCACGAAAGATCTAAGATCTAAGGCATGAATAACTCCTCTTGACTTTTCACCCCGCATTTTACGTAAGCCTAGATGGTCTTGAATGCGAAATTAGCAATTTTTGAATTTTGGCAGGACGAATAATAATTTTTTTTCTGTGACTGGAAAATGTTATCTCTGCCAAAATCACGTGGTTGAGCGAAACGGTGAAAACCTACATATTAAATGAGCCCCAGGACAATACATCACTTAATATAAAAGGTGTTACGATTATACAAATATGAAAAGAAAAGTAGGTATTACTAACATGTGACCTGAAAGGTCATCCAAAAAATCATAAAATAGTATAAAAGAGTTTTACCCACCTAAATATTGAATGCGGGCATAGGCCAAGATGTTCCAAAGGAACATTGGGCACATATAAAACTAAAAACACCAAATTTGGGTTCGATCGACGTGGATGTTTGAATTCTTCACTTGGTTATAAAACTGTCCGTTCAAGAGTCAAATGACCAGGGTAAGACATTTCGGAAATCCCCTCATATATCACATATACGAGCATATATGAACTCTGTCAATGTCTTTTGTTGTGCTATATTTCCGAAAAATGAGTCAATAATACCGTCTCCGAGAAAGAACTGCAAGTCATTTTATCTTCCTCTCGACTTCGCGGTTAAGTAAATTACTAAACAATCACTAAATTCGCATTTCTTTTAAATCAAATCATTTCAGAATTAGACTGACAGATTTTTGATTACCTCAAAAGGATGATGCCTGCGCTACGCGTTGGGAGACAACATCATTGAGTTCAATGCCTCTAGACCTAAAATCTACTACTCTTTCCCTTCTATAATAAATTGTTGTTGTTGTTGTTATCCTTTGTATTTAGGACAAAAATATATATATATTCGGAATCCTCATGATATTTTACGTTGGTCTAGATATGGTCTAGATGGTTTTCAATGCAAAATCAGTAATTTTTTAATCTTTGCGGAAAAAATATACAATTTCGTTATCCGTTGGATCTAGGACAAAAAAACTATAGATTCAGAATCTCCATGATATTTTACGTTAGTTTAAATGGTTTTTAATACGAAATTATCAATTTTTGAATTTTGACGAGAAAACTCCTTGTTATCCTCTGAATAAAAGAATGAGAATTTCCACCAAAAAAATTCGTTTTACCCACACATACTAATGAGCGATTCGAATGGAGTCTAGATCAATCAGGACCATCCAACATGCATTGAAGCAAGTTTTGGGTTTGAGCGATCGAAATGACTTTTTAAAAATGAGCTGAACTTGAGTCAAAAAATGATGTTCTCTGGTTGAGGCTCGTTCAAAAACTGATTTTTTTTCTATTCGAATTCATCATACAATATTCAAAGGCAAACTGCAAGTCTGTAACTGACTAACAATATTGAAATAATTAATACAATGGAGTGGTTATACATTGCGTTCATAAAGTGTGGAAACGCTCCATTATCTTACGATATAATTATTTTCAGAGGTGAAGCTCGGACAGGTCGATTTTGTATTTCAGTCTTCCATCTTTTTTTACAAAAAAATAATTTTTTCCCCCACCACCTTACAAGATATGACGTCATCGATATTTTTTTTAAATTGAAAGGGTATATTTTTATATCAAAAATTGAAAGCCCATATTTTTCTGAGTTCAACCATACTACATACGTCATATCTTACACTTCAAGTTACAGTATACTGAGTATAAAAGAAACCAGTGTTCATATTTCTCAACATTCATTTATAATTATTTATTTGCAATGAAAATATCATAAGAAGTAGTGAAAATGAAGTAGATTTGTTATTTGTTTATTTTCACTACTTCTTATGATATTTTCATTGCAAATAAATAATTAAATGAATGTTGAGAAATATGAACACTGGTTTCTTTTATACTCAGTATACTGTAACTTGAAGTGTAAGATATGACGTATGTGGTATGGATGAACTCAGAAAAATATGGGCTTTCAATTTTTGATATAAAAATATACCCTTTCAATTTAAAAAAAATATCGATGACGTCATATCTTGTAAGGTGGTGGGGGAAAAAATTATTTTTTGTAAAAAAAGATGGAAGACTGAAATACAAAATCGACCTGTCCGAGCTTCACCTCTGAAAATAATTATATCGTAAGATAATGGAGCGTTTCCACTGTATAACTACTACTATCACTATTTATCATAATCATTCTGCAAGAATACAAATTTCGAGAATAAGATACTATATGTTCTTGAATAAATAATCTGCAGTAACATGATTCATTTCACATACCTATTATCACAGTATAATGGTTGAGAAAAATACGATCCAGCATGATTTATCATTTTCACCATAGAAATCATTGTTGCAAGTTGCTGATGGTACCTCAGTTCTAGCTCTAGGATAATTTCCCATCGCAAGTTCTTGATGACACTCAAATCTTAGATTTTGCATTGTTACACCATAATAAACTATCTTGATTTTCTAAGATAGATTTTCATATTATCAAAGCTGCTTTGGTATTTGAATATAGTTGTTGATGGAGTTGAAGTAAGGTAGGTGCTGGTAAAAAAGCCCAGCTGAGGGAGACTTGAAATAAAATGGAAAATATTCATCCGAATCAACAAATTGTAGTGTTAATCATAGCCAGAGATCAGGTACTTTGAAAAAAAATCAAAAGATGGCAACTTCTGCCGTTAAGAAAAACGAAATCAAACATTTCAAAAACCCTTGTCATTAGGCCTTATGGTAGGACAATAAGGCCTAACTTTCGGTAATTGAGATCAGAAATTGAAGATTATGCATTGATCATGCTCAGGATTCAAAAATAATGACAAATGTCTATGTATAGCAGTCATCAGGACCCATAAAATCATCTGTGATAATCGCAAAAGCATTAAATAATAGGAAACTATAACGCAAATTTATATGAATCACTGTAATAATACAAACAAAACTCACAATGGATGACGCCGCTCTGGTAGCAGTGTGCGAAATAACCTTGGATCATACAGGAATGATCTAAGGAACTAACACATCGCAGAAATTCTGAGGCGCTATCTATGAATGTTAGCAACCTGTCAGTGTTACATTGAACGATATGGATGATTTTAACTCGCATTTTTATTGCATAGGCCTTATTAGCCGACAGGCTTTATTACCCGTACCTACCTTATTCTACTCGCGCATAATAAGTATTATCCACTCAGATGAGTATAGCAATTTTCATCTTCGTGAGTAATAGCCATTATTATGCGATCGTTGATAGATATACTAGTTTCATTTCATAGATATTGTTTTCCTACAGAGATACCAGTGGTACAAATGATGGCTACCGAAGAAGACGACGATGGATATAGAGAAGATCCAGATACTTATAGAGCTGGAGGTATTTGAGAAGTATACCCATCTTTTTATGTTTTTATTTTTGTACGATTGGTTTGTAGAAAATTTTAAAGTTAGTTGAAGTTCTCTTGCAAAAAGCGTAAACACATTACTTAGGTACTGTTCTTTCACAGGATTTCAATAATAATTATTGCCAATTTTTTCAAATAAATAAAGTTTCATTCTCTAATAAAACGTTCCATTTTTGAAACACAGGCTGTTATATTGTGTTTGTGTGTGTGTTTTCTTCCTCTTTAATATTCTTGATCTTCACACTTACTAACGCTTTCAATATTATTATCTTTCAATAAATCTCTACAATTGTTTCACGTCACTATTCATATGTCAAAGTATATCTTGAATAAACAGAAAGTGTCTGGCTTAAAACATTTATTTCGTATTAGACAGCCCAGTGCGTATAGTTGCCAAGTCACCAACGGATATTTACAGAATGTTTGTTCACACTGTACGTGATTTATTAGGTCCCTCCGATATTAGGTACTCATGAAATGCAATGCAACATTGCCATGCCATTCTTCCATGTGCCTTCTGTTCAATTGTCGACTATTGAATACAGTGAATACCCAGCGAGCACAAACATCCCTGGGATGTTTTGGGATGTTTTGAAAATGTTAGCATAAAGATGTTATTTTGAGACGTAATATGCACTGACCAAAGAGGTCTTTGAAGGATATTGAAGTATTGTTTTTGTTCTTCTGTGGCATTTCTTTGTTTGCCTACTGAGAGGTATCCCTGGGATGTTTTGGGATGTTTTAGAAATGTAGGCATGAGGATGTTTTTTTGAGGCGTAATATGCACTTCCCAAAGAGGTCTTAGAAGGATATTGAAAGTATTGTTTTTGTTCTTTTGTGCCCTTTCTTTGTTTGCCCCACCACAACGTCTCATGCTTACGTCACAATACGATGAATTCTGATTTGTTTTCGATTTTGTTCTTCTTGTTCACAATTGGCATTGGCGTTTGCAGCGTGTCACGTTTACATCACGCTGCTAACGAACAGAAACGAATTTGGTGAAGTTTATTGGGTTAGAAGACTTATTTTGTTTGTAATAATGACTATCAGATGCAAGATGTGTTGTTCGGTGCCTCAGTGTAATCAATATATAAAAGTACGAATTCATCAATACACATCAGCTTCTCCGCAGTTGCAAAATTATGCATTGTGGAGAACGTTTCAAAAATTGGGAAACCTATTTCCAATTATATGTCTGTGTGTAGTAAGCACTACTCAGAAACCGATTAAGAAGGTAATTTCATATCGAGAAAATATTTTTATGTTCAATCTATTTTTAATGCATTTTTTCATTCAAGGGAAATGGACCTAATGCAAAAGTTCATTTTGACGAAAGGCTTCAGAAAAGTACCTCGAAAATGGTTTTTTTACAGCGATTTAATGTGCGCAAGACGCGTTGAAAATGTTCTGTTGTGTCCATGAAAAGGCTTTAAAAAGAACTAGGGAGAAGGTAGTTTTGTGACATATCAATAAGGACATCTCAATAATTGCCGCCTGCGGCGGACATTAGCTGTTCTATAATAGTTCTATTCATGTGTGAACAGAACATCGCAATGGAGGTTCAATGTCTCGAAATCTCGTACTTTTAACATCTCTGAGATGTTTTTGTGCTCGCTGGGTACTACTAGAGATATTTCGAATTTTCGTCATCAAGATTGATTTCGCATGGCGGGATGACAAGTTTGATCAGATTTTCTGAGTCCAGTTATTTTATACAAGTATAAGAAAGCAGAGAAAAACGGAATAAAAAAGGGAAGAAATTTGCCTTGCTTTGGGGCGCTCGTTTATTTACCTAATGTCGTATGAACTCTCGAAGACAAAACGGTTCACCCTAATATTAAAATTGTTCGGAGTCAGACCTCGGAGTTCTTACGGAGTAATTTAAGTTTTCCAATTTCGGGTCCCATATATTCTTCCGGTACAATAGGCATTTGATTATTTTCCATTCCATTTGGGGGATTTTTCACTCAATTGAACCTCGTTTTGAATGCTGTACGGGGGACAGTCGGTTTCTTTCAATTCCAGTTTTCGCAGAAAATTACCGATTGAAGTTACAATTACATTGAGCTATATACATAACAAGGTGAACTTCTCTATAGCCAAAATAATCGATATACAAGGTGTTTCATAGTGGATTGGACATTAGAAGTATCTATAGAGAACCAAAAGATCATTCAGAAAATTTTTGGCGTACATAATCAAACATAATATGCTCTATCCGTCTAAAATATTTTCATATTGCCAGAAAGTAATACCTCCTTTCATATTCCAAATAGAACGCCTCGTCTATATTATGTCAATTTCAATATCCTTATAAGATTCCTCATGACTTGTCTTGGTGATAATTCCCTATACATATACCGGGTGGCTACGGAAGTATTGCCTACGGAATATCTCAGTTATTGTATGAAGTAGGTTTGTGAAATTTGAAGCGTCGATATAATGACATAAGAGCTAGAATTTGAGCATATTGACATGTCGAAGTTAACTTCCGGTCTGACCGGAAGTAACATCAACTTTCTTATTTTGAATGGAAACCCTATTTTTTTCTTTTCGGTTTATTCAGCATTCAATTCCCTTTTTAATGACTTATCACAAGTTGATATCTAACCAGAAACTAGATCAGAAAAAAATTATTATTGATATTCACCGAGTAGGCCGTGGAAGCGTATTTCATTTCTAAAAATGACTTTCTATTACATCATTAGAAAAGAATGGTTATGCTGAATAGTAGTAGAAGAAAAAGTTGTGTGTTCCTGTTTAAGTTATGGACCTACAGAGTATTGTTTTTTCCCAATTTTTCCAATATTTTTTTTGGCGGCTTTTTATAACGCCGACGAATGAAAATAAAATATCACAGTAGTAGCAACTGTCATCAAGTATCGTATGGTTTCCGTAGCCAACTTTTCAATTTTTGGCTTTCATTTTGCTTCCACGGCCTACTCGGTGAATTTCAATAATAATTTTTTCCTGATCTAGTTTCTGGTTAGATACCAACTTGTGATATGTCATTAGAAAGGGAATTGAATGCTGAATAAAGCGAAAAGAAAAAAAAATAGGGTTTCCATTTAAAATAAGAAAGTTGATGTTACTTCCGGTCAGACCGGAAGTTAACTTCGACATGTCAATATGCTCAAATTCTAGCTCTTATGTCATTATATCGACGCTCCAAATTTCACAAACCTACTTCATACAATAACTGAGATATTCCGTAGGCAATACTTCCGTAGCCACCCGGTATATTTTGTAAAATTATTGTGCTGAAGCTAAAACCCATGAAAAATAGCGATATTTTTTGACAATGCAAATTCACAGGACATTGCAATTTCAAATTGGATATTGTACAGTGTGTTCCGCCGTGTTTGATGATTTTGCGTGATATCTCATAGTAAGTTAGATACAAGTTCGCATTTTTCAAGGTCCTGTGGCACTTTTTTGTGAAATTCAAGGCCCAATCAGATTTTGCATAACTGTTTCCGTTTATGAGATACTAGGTGATTAGAATCAAAAGGCGCACTACATTTTTATTACCTAACCTAACATGGTTAGGTTAGGTAAGGGTTTTGCAGATATATACGACTCAAACTTATGTATTTTCAAATGGAACACCCTGTATTTCATAAGCTCATTAAATTCCTTTTTTTTTCTTTGAAATGATTTAATATAATGTATGAATATAAAATTTCCAAAATTGCTCCAAAATCACTAAAACATTGAATTTTAATAGTGGGCTATATGGATTTTTAATATAGAAAAAGTTCCAATTGAAGAAATATTTCTTAAGATTTCTCCATATAGAGGACAAAATCGATTTCAACACGGCGAAAATGGGACACACTGTAAATACCAATAATGCAAAACGAATTTATTCACCCTGTAAAGTGAATTTCACAAAAATAACTACCTTTTCAGATCAGTGTGGAAAATGCAAGGCAGCAACGAAGAGATTGAATATGAACAAATACTGTAAAAGAGACTATGGTGAGTTGCTATACCAATAATATACTTGAAAATTGTATATTTTATAACTCCGCCTATTAGCAGATGATTCTGATTTGAATGTAATATCCATACAGGGTGAAATTTCGAACAATTCCTTTCGAAGAATAATTTAAGGAATCGAAAAAACATGTCGATTTCATTTTCAAGGGGGACACTTGAAATGATTAGTTTTAGCCCTCTTGGTTCAACCCCCTAGGAGGGGTAGATCTTACCCTCAGAATCTCTAATGGGAAGGGGGGGTCAAGTGGCACATCATTTTGAAGGGTTTTCAATTTTTTTTTCCAACGATACCCTAGTTTATCATTTTCTGTTGAACAGTTTCCGTAAAATGTCGTGTCACTTACAAAACTCTTCACCCTTAATATCTTCCTTTCAGTAAAAATGACATGAAAAATCGAAAAGACAAGTCGATTTCATTACCAAGGAAGAACTTGAATTGCATATTTTCAGCCCTCTTAGCTCAACCCCCTAAGAGGGGTAGATGTAACCGGGGTCAAGATGGACATCCTTTTGGAGGGCGTTCAAGTATCTTTTCAACAATACACTAGTTTTTCATTTGTTGATGAGCGCAATGTCCGAAAAATGCCGTTCTAAACTTACAGAAGTAATTAGAACATTTCTGCACTGATAGGTTTTCAGGTTAGTACTATTGTATTGACTCTCATTTCAGTCCGAACGGTAGGAACATTTTGATTTTTTTTTCTATCGCTTGGAGCGCACGAAAGGAAATCCCTATAATGTTCAAAGAACATCGTGCGTTCCTAGGAAGGATAGGGACAGGAGGTAGGTATTGGAATTTTTTTTGAACTTCTGGAAATTATATATTGTTGGGATTACTTCCTCAGGAAATGAATTCCAGAGCCTAGCCGTTCTATGGATGAAGGAGTTTTGATAAAGTGCTGTTCGACATCTTTCGAGGTTGACAACGAAAGAATGTGCTGACTGGGCTTGTCTCTAGTTCGTCTGACTGGTATTGCTAGTGAAGGGATGATAGCAGAGATTTCTGAAGAACATTTCCCGTGGAAGTATCGATGGAAAAGTGAAAGGTCGCCGACTTTTCTACGGTGTTCCAATGATGTCAAAGAGTGAGTGAGTGTGGCATCACCCACCAGGCGAATGGCTCTTCTCTGGATGGAATGTTTTGGTGCTGAACCCCATATGTTGGAACAGTATTCTAGAACAGGCTGTTGAGGTGTAAAGTAGCTTTTCGCACGGAACAAGAATCCGAGTTTTTGTGAAGCAGCTTTTGCGATGGATCTGATGATTATCCCATGAAAGAGTGTTGCTGATGGAAATACCGAGCATAGATATGGTGGGCTTGGTGGGGATGGTGGTGCCAGACATTACAATATCGGTCATACTGAGTTCCGCCTTTCTAGAGAAAATACAGGGTTGAGTTTTGGTGGCGTTGAATTCAACTAGGTTGTTGGTTCCCCAGGCTGTGATTTCAGCAAGGTCTTCATTGACAGCATTGACCTGCCTGCGCCGTGAGTTCTTAGTTTCCTGGGAAGAAATGGGAATTCTGGAAGAGAACGCAGTATGGAGGGTACTATCATCTGCAAAGCTGTGGATGGGGCAAGTTGTTACTCCCAACAGATCATTGATATGAAGAAGGAATAATGTTGGTGCCAAAATTGATCCTTGTGGAACGCCGGAATTGATGCCAATGGTATCAGACGAAAGAAAACCCGATAAGAGATGGCATAGCTGAGGTGGTAAGCCGTATGATGGTAGTTTGTGGAGGAGTCCTTCGTGCCAAACACGGTCGAATCCTTTCGATATGTCCTACGCGACAGCTAGAGATTCCCCGTGTTTTTCTAATGAAGCTTGCCATAAATGGGTGACGTAGGCAAGTAGATCTCCAGTAGATCTTCGGTGGCGAAAGCCGTATTGTCTATCATTGATGATTCCTGAGCTCTCCAGATATTTGATAAGCTCAATATTGATGGCTTTCTCCATGAATGGAAATTACTGATAACAGGGCAATGGGCCTGTAGTTGTTGGGCAGGTTCTTGTTCCTTTTTTTGGGGATCAGTTGGACTCTAGCTGTCTTCCAGCATGATGGAAAAATACCCGACCTGTACGAGACGGTAAACAACTTGCAGAGAATCGGTGTTAATTCTAGTGCACATTTTTTGAGGATAATGGGTGGGATTCCATCAGGACCGTAAGCATTATTCGTTTTGAGACCAAGCAAAATTCGTCTGATAGTGCGTTGACGGAAGACGATTTGAGAATGAAATTGATCTATCTTTTCGATTTTTCATATTATTTACTGAAAGGAAGATATTAAGGGTAAGAAGTTTTCTAATTGATACGGCATTTTTCGGACACTGCTCAACAAAAAATTATAAACTAGGGTACTCTTGGAAAAGGAAATGAACGCCCTTCAAAATGATGTGCTTCTTGACCCTCTTTCCCGATTGAGATCACCTCCTAGGGGTTGAACCAAGAGGGCTATAAATATTTATTTCCAGTTTCCCCCTTGAAATTCGCAGTGGCTCCTACAATCACCCCTTGAAGTTTGAGCAGATACTTGAGAACCACCCTGTATAATTTGCGCTTGTATTGCAGCTATAATGGCTCGAGTGCTGTCCCGAATCGAAGACACGGATGACGAACACACCAAAGGTTGGGTGCGATTCATGATCAACGTGGAATTCATTTACAAGAAATCGAGAGATTCGAGAATTAGGAAAGGTACCATGCCCATGCTGGTACCGGCCGCAGACCTGGCTTGCAAATGTCCAAAAATCAAATCGAACAAGTGAGTTTTATGGTCGAGTATCAAATATTTTGTCATGGATTATGCTTTTGCAACGAAGCTTACTTCGTGACATTTTTTCAACGTTACATTCGTGACATGCTTTGAACGTTGTATCCATTTTTTTTATCAATGAAAAGTGTGTTCAGTTTTCGATGCTTTTGAGCGATATCTCAGTCATCTTTGTTGAAAGAGTGTTGCAGTTTTCACATTATAAGAAAATTTGAGATAACAGAAATAAAATGAGTACGCCACTGTATTATACAAAAAAATATATAAGGCCCCGTTCTCATCTTGCCGATAAGTTGAACAGTAACCAAGATACGGAAGTTGCTTGATAAGTGAGAACTTTCAACTTCGCCCTGTATCTTAATGAGATGAAGATATCGCGCAAAAGCATCGAAAACTGGAGGCACTGTACATCAATTTACGATTTTCAAATCAAACGGTATACCATTGTTACCTTTTTCCAACATTACGATTGTTACATACACAACATTCGCTTTATCTGACCTGTTGCCTGATAGGGAGCAAGACTATATTCGCCAATAGGCATAACAACATTACATTTTCAACATATTTTCAACGGTAGGTTCCTAACGTTTTTTAAACGTTACGTATACAACATTTCTCTAACATTAGAGTTTCATATTGTTTGTGAGTCCAATCGTTTTTTTATCTTTCTTCTTGCTGGGTAGGAAACTGGATATTATTCGTTGGTAGGAATAGTTATCGGCACCTTGAGAATAATTCAAGAGGATCGTTATATTTTGCATCGCCACGTTCACAACATTTTTCCAACGTTATATTTTTAACAGTTTTTGAATGTCCAAACCTCTACAAATCTCACTCATTGCTGGGTAGGAATAGTCACCGTTAACTAGGCAGTCATTAAGAAAGAGTCGTTACATTTTGCAATGTTACGGTTTCAACATTTTCCCAAAGTTATATTTTCAACAGTTTTGGAGCATTCAAACCTTTTTTTTATCGCTTGTTGCTGGGTAGGAAAGTGGATATTCGCTGGAAGAAAGAGTCATCTGCAGTTTGGGATTAATTCAGAAGGAATTGTTACATTATGCGACGTCACGTTTTCAACATTTTTTCAACGTTATACTCTCAACAATTCTCAAACGTGCAAACCTTGGGACTCATTCAGAAGGAGATCGTTACATTTTGCAACTTTACATTCTCAATTTTTCTTCAACGTTTTATCAATAACAGTTTCCGAACGTACGAGCCTTTTCCAATCTCATTTGTTGCTGAGTAGGAAACAAGATGATATTTGCTAGGAGTAATAGTGACCGACAGCTTGGAAATGATCCATAAGTGGATCGTTAACATTATGTAAGGTTACGTTTTTAACATTTTTTCAACGTTATATCAATACCATATCCCCAACGTTCTGTTTTGAACATTTTTCCAACGTTTTCAACATTTTTTTCATTTCAATGTTTGCAACATTTTTCTGACGTTATATTTTCAACATTTTTCGATCATCTTTTTCAGATCTTACCTGTTGCTGGGCAGGGAGAAGGACGATTCGCCGGGAGGCATAGTGACTGGGAGCTTGGGAGTCACTCAGAAGGCGATCGTGATCGAGTGGAAAGACGAGTGGGATCAGAGGATGCGCAGATTCCGGCGCAGAGCGCGAAAATGCAAATAGAACGGTAGAGAGCGAGTCACTCGACAAAAGTGAAGAGAATGACGTCTCTCTCTCTTTTTGATTCCCGAAGTATCCCCATTTCCACTTTTGTCCACCGGATAACTATTTTTGTTGAGATCGAAACCTTGACAAGATTTACTGTGATTTATTGATTTCTTTTTAATCGATCACCTCAATTCGACGGTCTATTTGGTAAGTATGTATACAGGGTGATGCTGGTAAGGAGACTTACTGCATGATAATTTGAATACAGGGCGTCGGAGTACCATTAATATGAAATTCATTATTAGATGTGAAAGGAAATACAAAAGTGGCATTTTTCAAATTTGACACGAATGACTTTCTATAAGTGAACCCTCGTGTGCAGTACAAGTCAAAAATATTCACAGGAATCGATAGGCACCGATATAAACTGCTTATCAAATGAAGTGGTCTACCTGAGTATTTGACAAAATTTTAAAATCGAGTATTATAAAAAATACTAGTCTGATTTTGACACGATATGTTTCATGTTGTGTAATAATCATTCGACAATGAGATATGGTTCACCTAAACTGTCCATAAAGACTGTGTTTTCAGATCTGCATGCGGAAACATAGACCCATTAAAAAAATTAATATTCTAGAAGCACCTAATCGCAATCACTTGGAAAAAATTTCGGAATTTGTTTCTTACGAAATCAGCGGATTTAATGATTTTCCCAAAAATATCTTGTTGTATTTGTAGATGTGGGTTTTGTATTTTCTTAGATATGGAATAATAAAGGATCCTCAACGCCCTGTATTTATTTGTTCATCATGAGAAGTCCCTTCATTATACTACTCTCTGTCACCTCTCAAAACTAATATATGAAACAGTAGATCACCCTGTATATTATAAAGTGGAAGCCGTTACGCATACGGTTGGAGAAAAGTTGTCCCTTGTGTAAGTATATCATTTTAGGTGACATTTATATTCTTCCGATAATTTTTCAAGTCATTGAATAAAAAACAATATTATTCGGATTTTCTCATTTGAAGCAACATAAATATTGGAAAGTTAGATTCTGAACGAAAAATGTATAATGAATAAATGATGCTCAATGACATAGTTAAGTACAGGGTGATTCATCATGAATGCCCCCCCCCCTCCTCTAGCACACTTCTTTTTGAACCAATTTTAAAATTTAAAAAATCGTTTGAAATAATTTTTCCGAATTTTTTTTCGCTATACATCAGAAAATACAGGGTGCTCGGAACAAACGACCTACAGGGTACTAGTTGATTTTTTCAAATGAAGAGCTGATAACATCAATGTATCAAACTTGGGGTCTAGCTGGAATGATTACAAAGATACAGGGTGTTGCGAAATTCGACCGACAACGCTCGACAGGTGATAGTCCTCGTGATTTCATAATCACTGAGATAGGGACATCGGTCTACAAGTGTTCAGTTCTCGAGATACAGGGCGTTGAAGTTGAGAAATGAAAATAAATAGTTGTTCTCAATATCTCAAGAATAATTGAATATAATACATTCAAATTCGATATATGGTTCCATCTTTGAATGGGTCATTTTTTGACAGGAAAGCCATTCCGGACATTTTATCCAGTGGTGCCCTACAGGAGGTTATGGTAACTTTTCCTCCCATATTTTCTATTCCACTGATTAGCTATAGATAAATGTATTCGTCAATCAAAGATTATACAAGGAATAGCTCATACACAATGTACAAAACTTATCAGACTAGTCAAACAAAGAAATGGGTACAAATATATACAATGCTAAAATAGTGTACCTATAGGTAAAGTCACAAAGACAAAATATAAAACACTCATACATACACATTAGAAATTGACAATATTTGAACATCAACAATTATAAAATTAAATTTCGATCCAATTCCTCGAATTTATTGTTCAATTTTGTTCAAAAAATGTTTCATCTTCAAGTGAGCTGAAATGAAAAGTTTTCGAGATATTCGACACAAAATAGAAGCTTGCATCATTTTCAGTAGTAGAAAATTGCAAAAATATATTTCCGGTGTTGAGTGGAAATAGTAATTCCACGCATAAAAAAAAACATTTTTGTAATCTTCTACTACTGAGGAAGATGAAAAATTACTATGCAAACTCCTATCTCGGGTCTAATATCTCGATAACTGTTCATTTTAGCTCAGTTGAACGTAATGTATTTCAATATAATTGAACAATCAATTCGAGAAATTGGAAATAATCGAAATTTCGTCAGTGGCGTAGAAAATATGGGAGGAAAAGTTATCACAGCCCCCTGTAACGCACCTATGGATGAAATTCTCGGAATGTCTACCTGGTCAATAAATGAACCATTGAAACATGAAACCATATACCGAATTTGAATGCATTATATTCAATTTTTCTTGAGATATTGCGAAAAAACATTTCTCAACTTCAACGCCCTGTATCTCGAGAACTGAACACTTGGAGACCATATGTTCCTATCTCAGTGATTATGAAATCACCTGTCGAGCGTTGTCGGTCGAATTTCACAACACCCTGTATATAGGCTGTTCAAAATCGAAATTTTTCAACTTTAGGATTATTTTGTGTCTCAACTATTCATCATTGGTCGAAACGACTCACATATGTCCCTATCTCAACTTTGATTTAATATCTACTGACATTCAATTGGAACAATACAGGGTGTGGGTAAAGATTCAGAAGTCTGATCACCATGTATCTGTTCCAATTTATTATTAAATGTCAGTAGATAGTAAATCAATAGTAGATGGACATGGGAGCCGTTTTGACCAATAAGGAATAGTTTCGACAAAAAAAAATCCTAAAGTTGAAATATATCGATTTTGAACACCCTATATCTTTGTAATCATTCCCGCTAGACCCCGGGTGTGATATATTCATGAAATCACCTCTTCGGGGAGAATCTGAAAACGCGATGAAATACAGGTTGTTCCATTTGAAAAAAATCAACAAGTACCCTGTAGATAGTTTGTTCCGAACACTCTGTATTTTCTGATGTAGCGGAATAAAAAAAACAATAATCATTGGCAAATGAGTCTTCGAATTTCTGGATCAATTCAAAAATAACGCTAGAGGGGGGGGGGTATTTATGGTGAATCACCCTGTACACAAATTATTATGAATCAATCTACTTATCAATGTATACTAAATATAACAGCCATGGTTGACTTCAGTACTTGAGCATTCACAATGGAATTTATTTTTTTGTAAGTCCCTATACTCAGTGGGTGAAATTCATAAGAAGAAAACGTAATTGATGAATTCAACGCGATTTCTGTTTCAAATATAAAATAACGACATACAGAGTGTTTCAAAATAACCTAACCCCCTAACTAGAGTAGGTAGAACACTGCAAAATAAGTTGGGTTCACTCAGTAAAAAAATTTCGTAACGGCATCCGTTATCAAGATACAAGGTGTTGAAAAAATAATGTTTTTACACACTTTTCAAAATTATGTCGTAACTACTGGCAACATCGTGATGAAATTTTGTATGGATGTTTCTTGGAATCTGACACATCTCATGCATTTAATTTTATATCTGACTCTCATAGAGGGCGCTAGTTACACTGTTCGTACCGAGTAGTTTTGAACATAACTTTTTTGAGGTTAGATTTTTCAATCCAAATTTGATGTGAACTTGAACATCATTCAATTTCACACCAAAAAGGTGCTCTTGGTAAAATTCGATACTGTGTTCCGTTTCCGGAATATTTCGATTTGAAAATGATGAAGCGGATATAAAGCTATGTATTAGAGTGAGTATTATGAAAAATTATCACCTATTCATTGAAAACCGAAAACAACAATACATTCCTGATGCTAAACTTATTGATTTAACAATTGATCACAAGAATAACATCGAAACATATTTGACTAAGAATATGGATTACACAGTTTTGTTGTATCTTGAGCAGAAAGTTTCTGCTACATAGGTAAATTCACGTCAAGAGTTGTAAGACATAATTGAACATCACTTAAATGACCTAACATCAGCTGATCCTCAACTGTTCAGAAGAATAATACATTCTTAAAAAAAGAATATAGAATCGTGTATTCCTCGAAACGTAGGAAATTTTGAACACTTATACTCTAACTGATTCAATATTTCATGTTTCTTGTCAAATATCTCTTAATTTTCTACTTATGATTCTTTGTTCCATCAATAACTTCAGCACAAGAATAATTTCATTGTTTTTGAACCTGTATAAATAGGTAATTGAACTCAATAAAATTTATTTTCATTCATTACTACTCCATTATTTTAAAATCGAAATATTCCGAAAACGGAACATTGTATCGAGTTTCACCAAGAGTACCTTTTTGGTGTGAAATTGAATGATGTTCAAGTTCACATCATATTTGGATTGAAAAATCTAACCTCAAAAAAGTTATGTTCAAAACTACTCGGTACGAACCGTGTAACTAGCGCCCTCTATGAGAGTCAAATATAAAAACAGATGCATGCGATGTGTCAGATTTCAAAAGGAACACCCATACAAAATTTCATTACAATGTTGCCAGTAGTTTCGACATAATCGTGAAAAATGTGTGAAAAAATCATTTCTTCAACACCTTGTATCTTGAAAACGGATGCCGTTACGACATTTTTTCACTGAGCAAACCCAACTTATTTTGCAGTGTTCTACCTACCCTTGCAAGGGGATCAGGTTTTCTTGAAACACCCTGTATTTATTTCAATTTTTGAGATTCAAAAATGTGCCAACAAAGAATTGGAAATATGCTTCGGCAACTATAAGTTGATGTCATTAATTTTCAGTGACTCTGATTGGATATTTTCTGAAAAATCCAGAAAGATTCTATGCAAAGGAGTCCGCTGATCTTTATTTAGATTTGAATTCTACTGAAGATAGCAACTTATAGTTGCCGAAATAGGCATGTCTCAATAGTTTCCATTGATTTTCATCAACTTTATCACAAGAGAGTTTTTATTTAAACAGCTCTGGTGAGAAAATTGTTGAAGAAAACAAATTAGAAATGGCAAAAAGTACGATAAATAATTATTGCCGAGTGTCCCTCCATGGCTGACGTTGAGGCTATCGAGACTTACCATAAAATAATATACAGGGTGTTTCATTACTAATTGCAAATATTTCAACCATAAAATCCCGAACTCAAAATATGAAGATTTAACCCAAATCACCTGGATGAAATATGTCTCCTGTCTGAGTTACAGGGTGTTTTATTAAAAAATTTTGTTTTTGCCAAGTTCTTTAAAATTATTTGACGTATCACTTTCATATTTGGAGGGAAGTGTAGGTATTATATAACTGAATTATGTAAAATTCACTTTTATAGCTATTACCAGAGGCGTATGACAGGGGCAATTGACTGGTTGATCCGTCCCAAATTCTACGCCACTGGCGGAATTGCAATTTTATCAGAATTTTTCGATTCTTCAATACCTTCTTCGTAAATATTGTACTCTATCTCTATAGCGATAAAGTCATTATTTTTCGAGATATTTCAAGTTAAACATGAAGCAGCACAATTATTTTGATTTTAATGTGTATCAATAATGTCGATATTTTGGATCAATGGACTGCATTCATCAATCAAATGAAACTTCAATCCATATTAACATAAAAACATAACAGACGGGAGCTGTTACAGGGCATTTTAAATTTTTTTATATATTACATAATTAAACACCCTGTAACAGCTCTTGTCTGTTATGTAATTATGTTTTTATTGTTAATATGGACAAATTTAATGCACATTGAAATCAAAATGATTATGCAGATTCAAGTTTAACTTGAAATATCTCGAAAAATAATGACTTCATCGCTATGAAGAAAGAGTACAATATTTACGAAGAAGGTATTGAAAATCGAAAAATTCTGATTAAATTGCAATTCTGCCAGTGACGTAGAATTTGGGAAGGATCAACCAGTCACTTGCCCCTGTCGTACGCCTCTGGTAATAGCTAGAAGAGTTCATTTCACATAATTCAGTTGGATGTATAATGCCTACACTTTCCTCCAAATATGAAAGTGATATACGTCAAATAGTTTTGAAGAACTGGGCAAAAAACATTTCAAAATTTTTGAATAAAACACCCTGTATAACTCAGACAGGAGACATATTTTATCTAGGTGATTTGG